AGAAATGTGAGAAAGAGAAACATTTTGAATATGTAAAAACAGATGAAACATGAAATAAACACTTTATTCAGATTAAATACAAACTAAATTTTTATTTCACTCTTTCATTGGATGTCCTCCAAATAATGGATGCCTGGGGCCATCACACCCCTGCTCCCCGCTCTTTTTCTTGGGAAGAAGCTGTCTGAATGGAACGACAATCATACCAATAGAATTCAATGAGAATGGGGATTATTTCTCCCAGTGTACATGACGTAGTGAGTCTTAGCTGTAAAGGTCTGAACTGGTGGAACATTGCAATTATTTAATAAAGAAATGTTTTCCGCTTTATCTTGTGGGTAGAAACCATAAGAAAAATCAAATTTTGCAAACAAGACTGTTCTTTTCTCATCAACTGAAGAATTTATTTTTTATTTAAATCTTTAAAAGACTAAGAAACAAGTGGATGTTTCCAAAATTCTCTTAGGCTGGTTGCCAATCAATTTTAGAGAGCTCAGTCTACCCTGCTATTTAACCCATAGCTGGAGTAGGGAGAATAGACAGATTCATGCTTTTTTCAAGAGCATTAGAATGAAAGTAAATGCAATGGGCCAGCCCATAATTTGAAATCTGCTCAACAATTCTACTTTCTATGGTGAGCTTTGTTAATAGAACTGGACTTTTAAATGTAGCCCAATCTGGCAGCCCTAGTTCAGTAAATAATTTCCATTGTCAGGTTTGTTTACTGATTTTTTTTTTCTTCTTTAAAAAGAATGCAGTTTCCTTTGTTTTCATAGATTACACTAGACAATGTCTGAAAAATTGATCAAACAAAGTCTCGTGTTAACAAAAGTAATTATAAGACAAAATAAATGCATAATCCCAAACAATGTTAGATATTAAAAGATCTGCTGAAAATGCATTTTAATCACTTTGATCCTATCAGCCCTTAAGAGATTTCAATTGTTGAAAAATCTTAATTTATAAGGTTGGTGCAATGAAACTGATATAATTTCAAAACCCTTGAAAATCAAGTATTACAAGTGGGACTTACATAAAAGGTAAACAAATTTCTCTTTCAAATGGTACCAAATTTAACCTCCTTATTATTGCCAGTCACAAGATATGTCTTTGGAAATCTACAACTTGGTAGAATTTGTAGATTTTTGGCACATGTAGTTGCTCACGTGTTATGGCTGTGTACTGAAGTACAGTGATACTTGATTGCAGGCACATTCAGGTACTGCCAGACTGTAAGCATGTGAAACTTGTGTGCATTTGAGTGTTTCTCTGATGAAAAGGTGTATGTGTGTGCACACACATACATGTAGGAGGAAAGATGTCAAGTGATTTTCTGAACAAAAATGTTAATATCCAAAACACTGAAAAAAGGTCATGTTGCCATCTGAACAGAATCTGTAAATTTATATAACAGGTTGTCTCTGTTGTAAAACTACCTGTAACACAACACAGTCATTGGCCAGGACCCTCTCAAACCATTCTGGGTGAATGGCAAAACAATACAAGACTATTTCAAATGCTAGATGACAACTAAATCACATCTCAGTGAATATTTAATTAAAAACAAAACAAAAAAAAAAACAAAACAAAACATCTATATTTCTTCAATATCAGTCAATACATTGAGATTAAAATTAAAATATATGGGGGGGGTGATGAAAAGCTCTTGGAATGACCAAGAAGCGATTCAAAAGATAGGATAGAATAAAAAATAAAAAAGATTTTAGGTTTGTGGTCCTTTGGTCAGATTTTGAGAAATAAACCAGAGAACTTTTCAGCACCCCCACTCCCCTTCATGCACTCACTTGTGCATTTGTTTGAGGAAAGAGGTCAAGTGATTGTCTGAACCAAAATGGTAATATCCAGAAAAAAAAAAAAAAAAAAAAAAAACAGAATAATGTTCTTGGTAATGAAGACGCTAATAGCCATTGAAGAACTTGAAAGTTTACCACTCATCTTTGCCTAAAACACAGACACACGCACACACATGGAGATTCACTCACTGAAGACAATTCATATATGCTTTCATAATGGCTGGCAAAGTTTCAAATCTGTTCCATTAGATTTTGTTGGAAAAAGCAGAAGCAATACTGTCTTTAACCCCACCCAAATTATTCTCCAATATAACAGGTAGGCATTGTAATAAAGTAAAAACAGAGAAAAAGGTGGATCTCTATTTTAAAAGAAAAAAAATGACATCCCTAAGAGGCAGATACAAAAAATAAACATCCAAGTAATATTATTGATTTTTATGGAATGCAATGAAAAGGTAGTTGTATATAAAGCCCATGTCAATTTAGCTGTATGCAGAGCCCATGTCAATTTAGACAATTACATACTATCAATTAATAAAAATCAGACCTAATAAAAATGTTGAAAATCAAATTACTTGGTTTAAGATTTTTTTTTTTTAAATTACGATTAATTAATTAAAAAGAAGT